TCCCCGTACCTCAGTTCTCGCTGGTTCTCGAACGTCCTCGGAATCATTGTTGGGTCCCCTCCATAACGTCGGTGACGGGGGGGAGAGGAAGGGCGTGTCGGGCGCCAGTGGCGGAGCAGCAGTAACGTGGCCAGCGCGGGCACGGCACCAACAATACGGACGGTGCTGCTAGCAGTAGTGCCAGAACCGGCATTGGCCACGACGACAATGACGAGGAAGTCGACGACCGGCGGCGGCGGCAACAGTGACAACGACAACGGCATCGACGACGACATCAACAAAGACAACACACATTGTAAGCCTGTTCGCTCTTACCTGCTCGCGTGCCATTCAACACGTATATATCAATCCCTCGGTGACCGCGCTGTCGTCTTCGATAGAATCCCCCCTGGGGGTATATCTTCATTATCTGCCACGTGTAACTTGTGCAGCCCCTGAAACAGGGGGAGAAAGGACGGATGGAAGGGGGAGGGATAAGGATGGAACGCGGGATTGGCAGGAAGGGTGGGCTGGGAGCAGAACGCACGTGGCAGAACCAGACGGGCCCTTCGGGCGGGAAAACCCTAACGGGCGGGTCGGGAGGGCGGGCCCAGGCGGCCAGGTCGAGAATGCGTGTTGCTGAAGCGTGAGTGCACCACGAATCGCGATGAGAGCTCGAACGAAAGCGCGATTCCCGAGAAAATCGCCAGAGAAACCAAAACGAGAGCGCGATTCCTGAATGTCGAGGGCGCGGCGTCAGAATGATTTGCTCGGAAATCGCTCGCGAGAGCGCGATTCCTGCATAACTTGTGAGGAACTCCCGTGCAAAAACGCGATTTGGAAATAGATCGTGAGGAATGGTCCGACGGGAGCCGTTGATATTGTATTTCGCGGCCCAACAACGCAGTTTGGTGACACCAAGCGTTCTCTGATAAAAAAGGCGCGAGCCCCGATGGTGGGCATTTCATGTGAAAAATACTTCTGTTACCAGAGGGGGGCAACAACAATTATTTTTTACAAATCAGACATCAACAACAGCAGCAACAGCAACAGAAACAGCAGCAGCAACATCAGCAACATCAGCAGCAGCAGCAACGACAACAACCACCACCGCCGCAACAACTACAATAACAACAACAACCACCACAACAACTAGATCACCAGCGCCATTAACAGCAGCAGCAACAATAACAACAACAACAGCAGCAACAACAACACCAACAACAACACCAACAGCAACAGCAGCAATAGCAACAACAACAACAACAACAACAACAATCATTTTACCCGAACGCTCAGTGTTCTCCCCAGTGCCAGGGTTTTCATGCGACGCCAGCCAATACCCCCACTTCGTGGGGGGGCAATGCAAGCTCTACCAAACATCCACACGACTCTCGGGAACCACCCACACCCAGCTTCCCGCCCTATGACGTCAGGACACTTCACTTCGTGGCGCGCGGACGATCGTGGATACTACACTGGCGTGGAGTACACACCCGCAGAGGTTGATCACTTGTTTGGGCCCCGCATGTGCCCCGCATGGTGCATTTGTTGCGTATGACATACATAGTACAGAGAGACAGAGAGAGAGAGAGCAAGACAGAGAGCCAGTGGAGAGAGAGATAGAAAGAGATTCGTCACATGTGTGAGGCAACCTGAGAAGCCAACTTGGAGCCAACTTGGAGCCAACTTGGAGCCTCTTTGGAACCTCTTGGGGGCCTCTTGGAGTCCTCTTGGGGCCTCTTGGGACCATCTTGGGCGCCTCTTGCGGCCTCATGGGCGCCTCTTGGGGCCATCTTGAGCGCCTCTTGGGGCCATCTTGGGTTTTAAAGATTCATGAAGAGCCCGCGGGTGGATTTTGATATTTTTCGGATGAGAAAGTCTTGCGTTTGCATATGTTTTCGGAACATCGCATCTTGAAATTATTGAAATCACATTATGTTTGGCAGGATTTCGGCACGCGCGCGCGGCGGCCGCGCGCATGTGCACTTCGTGTCATTTTTTGCAAGGGATGGTGGCCCTCGTAGGCTCGCAACCGTTGTTGCAGAAGGTCGAAGCACCTGAAAAGGTTCCTCGCAAAGGCCCTTTTAACAGAAATGTTTAAAATCTGGTGGGTTTCCTAGGAATCCGCAAGAGCGCGCGGAAGGACATTTTGACAATTTTTTCTGAGAAAACCATTGGGTTTTTGATGTTTTTATGTTAAAATCGTTACGAAACCTAAGGTTTTGGAAGGATTTCGTCTTGCGCGCACGAATGTCCACTTTACCTTATTTTTTGCAAGGGATTCTTGCAATTTGATCAAGTAAAAACAAGAATTTTCATTTTCTATTGTTTTTTGCAAGGGAAAACGAGCGTCAACAAAAAACCGGATCCGGAGCTCATCCACTTTTCTGAAGCTTTCGCGAAAAAATGATGAAAATGTAGCTGCGGCCTAGGCGCGGCGCAGAGGTCGCGCACCAGGGGTCCCAACAATAATAATTCTTTAGAAGGAATAATGTTCAACAACAACACCAACAACAACAACACCAACACCAACACCAACACCAACACCAACAACTACACCAACACCAACAACAACATCAACACTAGCAACAACAACAGCAACAACAACAACACCAACAGCAACAACAACAACAACAACAGCAACAACAACAACGGCAACATTCCGTTTAAGATTGTTCGCTCCTATCGGCTCACGTGCCGTTCGCCACGTGTCCCGAACCCTCGGTGCCCGCCCTCTTCGTCGTCGATCGCACCCCCCATGGGGGCATACCTTCCTTGTCTGTCACTCGCGAGTAGAGCAAGACGGATGGGACGGAGCACGGGGGAGGAGAGGACGGATGGAAGGGGGAAAGAGAAGGATGAAGCACGAGAGGAATGAGCAAGATGGAAGCACGTGGCAGAAATAAACGGGCAGATCGGGAGGGCCAGCGGGTCGGGAAGGCTGGCCCAAGTCGAGCAGGCGGGTTGCTGAAGAGTGGTTCGAGCGATACCGCGATTCCCAAGTAAAATGCGAGAGGGGCCAAAGGGAAAGCATGATTCCTGAGCGTCGAGGGCGCTGCGTCTGAAAAAATTGCGAGGGAGTCCCCCACGGTAGCGCGATTCCTGCATGCACTGTGAGGAAGTCCCGCACGAGACCGCGATTTTGAAATAACCTGTGAGGGCCAGGGGCCCAATCTGAGCCTCAAGACTTTTCTTTCTACACAAAGCAGCCTGGTGCCATCTGCTGGCGCGGCGTCCGCGCAAGCATAGGGCGAAACAGGCATGGCGCGGCCAGGACCAACGCCGAGCGGGCGGCGGCGGCGGGTGACACCTCGGGACCTGGCGACACCGCGGCAGGTCCACAGCACTGCGTACCAAACAGGGCCGGGGAGCGTACCGGAGGCCGTCTGGGAGCCTCTGAGGGGGCTTCTTGGGGGCTTGCTGGCCGGGGGGGGGGCAGGATGGGCGGGGAGCGCTCCAGCAGGATTGGCCCCAATGGGCCTCCCTTGAGGCCCTCTTGATGACCTGTTCGGCCGTCGTGGAAATCCCCGCAACCGACATGAAGGCCTCTGGGCGGGAACTCCCTGGGCGCCCTCCGGAGGATTTGGGAGGCTTCTCGGGGCTGCGTCATTTCGCGGATGAAGTGATCGTTAGAGGAAGTACGGAGAACATGTTTGGAGAATAACAACAATTTTTCGGATCTCATGTGGCGGATGATAGCGACGACGAGAGGAGAAGGAGAGCCAAGATGATGGGACCCAAACCAGACCCCACATCTCTTGGGACGCGCTCGGCGCGGGAGGGGTCGCAGAAACAGTGTTCCTGGGTGTCCGCGGCTAGATTGGACAGTTTGTGTTTGCAACCCCTCCCGCACGAGATGTGTCCCAAGAGGTGCGGGGTGTGGTTTTTGGTGTCTAATCATCAGATTATTTCTGGAGCGTCGCTTTCTCAAACCAACTGGGATCTTCTAGGAACATGCCAGAGCCGTTTCCAAGAAGCTGCGGTAGGCTTTCCTGGGAGCCTCCGGGGAGTGTCCCTGCGGCCGTCTGAGGAGCCCCTGCGGGTCTTCGTGGGGGCTTGCTGGTCGGAGGGGGGGCGGGATGGGGCGCTCCAGAGTTGGCCCTGTTGGGCCTCCCTCGGGGCTGTCTTGTTTGAAGGGGCCCCAGGACACACAAATAAATACACACAAATAACAGGATTCCCCATATTTTGCCATATTTCCTGGGTTTCTGTCTTCCCGCCCAATTCCCATATTTTCCCATATTTTCCTGGGACTCGACGATGAATTGTGTCTGTGTGTTTCTTTCCCTCCTGATTGTTGCTGTTCGGCCGTCTTGCGAGTCCCTGGAGCTGTCTCGAGGGCCTGCGGGGCCGTCGTCGAAGGCTCACTCTCGGGAGCTCCGTGGGCGCCCCCGGGGCCTCGCTTGGGGGGGCTTGCTGGCCGTGGGGGGGGCGGGCGGGATGGGCGGGGAGCGCTTCACACTCGGATCAAGCGGGAGTGCATTTGGGCGTGGCTTCATGGGGGGGGGGTCACAAATGGGGGGGTCAGAAAAGGTCCCCTTTCGTGCCCCTTTCGGGCCCCTCCAAAGCCCCAGGGGGCTCGTTTAGGTGCCGTTTGGGTACCTTTTCGGGCCACACTCGCCACCCCCCCATTTATGATCCCCCATTACGCAGCGCCCAACGTATGCAGTCAACAAAGATGCCGGGTCAGGTTGGTGTTCGACCACGGATGTACCAGCGTTAGGTCGGGCATGTCCTCTTGCTGGCGGGTTTTGGTCGAAAAATGCAAAAATAGTCCAAACATGTTGAAACATATCCAAAAAGAATCGAAACAAATCTTCCCGCGACTATTTTCTTACTGTTTTCGAATACTCCTCCTGTAGAGGGACGTGCCCGACTTGATACCAGCGCCGATGCTGAATGAAACCGCATCCCAGGGGGGTGAAGGCGAGAGAGCGTGGCAGGGGGAGGAGGCGCAGGAGCGGCGGCGCTTGGGAGGCCCGCTCTCTCTTTCTCTCTCTCTCTCTCTCTCTCTCTCTTTACAGGCCGCAAGCAGGCCCGAAGGCGCTGGCGACCGTCTCCTCCGGCGAGGCCCTGCTGTCGGGGGAACGAAGCAAGCCAGACACCGAACAACTCGGAGGTCCGCGCGGACTTCTCGCATCGGCGCCAGGACCGCGCGCCGGGGGCGCCGCCAAGGGGGCCCCCGGCGCCGATCCGAGAAGTCCGCGCGGACCTCCGAGTGGTTCTGTGTCGATGACTACCTACCAGACCACCCCAACCCAACCCGAAGACCCGAATTTCGGGTTGGGGGGGGGTATGGGCTCCATGTGTGTTGTTTCGATGTTCCCGGGACCCCCCCCCACTGGAAAAGGAGGGCAAAGTGAGGCCTTCGGGTTTGGTGGGGGTGCTTTGGTGGGTGCCCTGACCTTCCAGAGAGCTATTTTTTAGCACGGGAGGCCTAAAAACCTAAAAAACGAAACGAAACTGCCCAAAACCAAGACGTAGAATAGCCCTGGGATAGGTTTGTGAGTCGCGTGCTATTTTCTAGCCCTCCTGGAAGGTCGGGGTGGTGACACGTCTGGCAGTCCTTCGCTCCCCCCCGCTGAGCGGCCGCCCCCCCGGCAGGACCGCGTCCACGCACCAGGCCCCGAGGCCCAGCCTGCGGGCCCGGTGCTCGGCCGCCAGCTGGCCGCAGAGGCTCGGAGGAGGGCCCGGCGAGGCGACAGCGCGGCGCGCGGGCGGCCCTCGGCGTGCTCCGGGGGGGGCCTGCCGGGCTCCCTGCGAGAGGCGCCTCCCGCCGCCCCGGCGGGACATCCGTGGCGAGCACTGTGTTGCGCCCATCCTCCTCCCGCCTCCCCTCCTCCCCCTCCTCCTCCTCCTCCCTCCGCCTCCCTCCTCCCTCCTCCCTCCTCCCTCCTCCCTCCTCCCTCCTCCTCCTCCTCCTCCTCCTCCTCCTCCTCCTCCTCCTCCTCCTCCTCCTCCTCCTCCTCCTCTTGGGGAGGCATCTCTTGCTTCCTTTTTCACAGCAATGCTTGTGTTGCTCCCATCGTACTTACGGACCACATCCCAGAAAAAAAATTCGAGCACCCAGAAAAGTATCGAAGCAGTGTCGAACGAATATCGGCTCCCAAGGCCCGACACGTGGACATACTGCAGTTTCGGTGCTTTCCTGACGCTCGGAAATTCTTTCTGGTGGTCAAGGCTAAAGTCGATTGGAACATCATACGTCGAGCACAGAATGCACGAGGGCCCCAGGACGGGTCCATGTCGAACCACGAAGCGGGTTGGACCCCAGGAGGGGCCAGGGGACCACTTTCGAGCGGACCTGGACTGCTGGGCGGGAGAACCGCTGCTATCTTCAGAAGGAGAAAAACGGCATCAACGTAAACGTTTTGCGCTCCGCGCGGATCCCTTGGATCCGTGCCGGACCACCACCCCCTGGCGCGCGGAGCGCGCCAGGGACGGCGCCAGAGGCGCCGCCAGGGGGCCCAGCGCGGATCCACGGAACCCGCGCGGAGCGCCAAAAGCTTACGTCTATGGCGTTTTTCTTCCCCGAATCTCGACTGGCCCTCCTCCGAGAGGTCCGCGAGGCGCGCGGCCGGGTCCGCCCTGATTCTGGCGAGCTCCGCCCCGCCGAGCGTCACGAAGCGCACCGCGTCGCCGTCGAGCAGCGCCTGCAGGAACACCGCCTGCGCCGCCAGACCGCGACCATCCATCCACTGCCGCGGGGCCGCGTCCCGAGGGCTCCTCGAGAGCTCGGGGCACGACTCCGAGGCGGTGGATGTGGGCAGAGTACGGCGGCGGAGCGCCGGCAGCAAATGAGGTGTGTAAGTCAGGCCGGCGGCCAGCCCGGGGAGGTCGCACCGACCATCATCAGGCAAACCGCACGCCACCGCGGTGCCATCGCTCCTGAGCAGCACCGTGTGGTCTCTTCCGGCAGCAACCTGCGTATAGCTCAGGTCGGCACGAAGCACCGGGATGAGGTGGCACTGACCAAAATTGCTCCGGCCGCAGGCCACCGCGGTGCCATCGCTCCTGAGCAGCACCGTGTGGTCTCCCCCTGCAGCTACTTGCAAATCCGCTGATCGACGTGTGAGTTCTACAAGAATCAGTGGGGCTCAAGGCGAAGCTCCTGCTCCACTAGTGGGTAGAGTAGAGCAGCGCAGAGTAGGGCAGAGCAGAACAGAGCAGTAGAGTAGAGTAGAGTAGAGTAGAGTAGAGTAGAGTAGAGTAGAGTAGAGTAGAGTAGAGTAGAGTAGAGTAGAGTAGAGTAGGGTGGGGGGAGTAGAGTGGAGTAGGGTAGATGTTAGAATAGAGCCGGCCAGAGTAGAGTAGAGTAGAGTAGAGGAGAGGAGAGTAGAGTAGGGTAGAGTAGAGTAGAGTAGAGTAGGGTGGGGGGAGTAGAGTGGAGTAGGGTAGATGTTAGAATAGAGCCGGCCAGAGTAGAGTAGAGGAGAGCAGAGCGGAGCAGAGTCCACCCAGTCCAGTTCAGTCTACTCCAGTCCAGCCTACTTCAGTCCACCCTTGTCCACTTCATTTCAGTCTTCTGATCTCCTTGGAGCCTACGCTGACCGACACTCCAGGGAGTCCCGAAACACCCACACAATGGCCACGCGCCAAGAACACCACAAGACTCGTTCGGCCCGTGTGTGATTGCGCTGGGAGCGCCCCAGGTCGGCGGCACACGCCGAAGGCCACCATCATAGCTCAGGTTGGGGACCAGCGCGGGGATGTCACACTGTCTCTGACCTCTCTGGCCGCAAGCCACAGCGGCACCATCGCTCCTGAGCAGGACCGTGTGACACCTTGCGGCGGCAACTTGCGTGTAGCTCAGGCCGGCAGCCAGCGCGGGGAGGTCGCACTGACCGTCACCGTTCTGGCCGCAGGCCACCGCAATGCCATCACTCCTGAGCAGAACGGTGTGGTCCTTCCCGGCAGCCACTTGCGTGTAACTCAGGTCGGCGGCCAGCGGGGGGAGGTCGCACTGACCCGTACAGTTCCGGCCGCAAGCCACCGCAGCGCCATCGCTCCTGAGCAGCACCGTGAAGGCTTCTCCGGCAGCAACTTGCAAATAGCTCAGGTCGGCGGCCAGCGCGGGAAGGTCGCACTGCAGAAAATCGTTCCAGCCGCAGGCCACCGCGGTGCCGTCGCTCTGGACCAGCACCGTGTGTGCCCCTCCGGCGGCAACTTGATGATAGCTCAAGTCGGCGACCAGCGCGGGAATGTCGCACTGACCACGAAGGTTCTCGCCGCAGGCCACCGCGGTGCCATCGCTCCTACTAGGAAAAGGGAAAAAACATAAACATAAACCTTTGGTTCTCCGCGCGGATTTCTTAGATCTGCGCTGGACACTCCTCTTTGGCGCGCGGAGCGCACCAGGGGGGGCCCAGCGCGGATCCAAGAGATCTGCGCGGAGCGCCACAAGATGATGTTCGTGTTTTTGTTCCTTCTTCGACCTGAGCAGCACCGTGTGGTCGTCTCCGGCGGCGAACATCCGCGAGAGTCGAGCGGGGGGGCCGCTCGATGACGAGGCGAGTCGCGCGAGCGGGCTGCGACGTGGCTCGGGCCACGAGCGGCAGGCGCGACGAGAGGCGCGCCGCGCCGCGCCGAGGCGGGCGAGAGCGACACGTTCGTCCGCTCGCGTGTCGATGGAGTGGCGAGAGACACACTGCGCGCCGCGCCCGCGCGGGAGCCCCATCCTCAGGAGCAGTGAGCGCGGCGCCAAGGCGAGGGCGACCGCTGGATGCGCGCCCCGCCCCACTCCTGCCACGCCGCGTGCAGCGTCGACGCCACAACGACCATGCCGCGAGGAAAAGGCGGCGACGCTGCACCGGGGAGACGCAAAAAAAAAGTACCGGTGCCGCGCTCCCCGGACCTCTGCCGGAGGCCCAGGACGTGTCGAGGCGAAGCCGATTGGTGGCGACGAGGCTCTCCCAGGAGGCCCAAGAAGGGGAAGACGAGAGGAGGGTAGAGGTACGGGTCAGGGCTGAACCTGAGCGGCGTTCTTCGTGTTCGTCTTGGTTTCTCCCTCGCTTTTGTCTCGAAGCCGCCTGTACCGCAAAACGGAGTCGAAGCGAAAACGGCCCACGAAGTCACCAAAAACACCGTTTGGGTCCAGCCCTGGTATGGGTACCTTTGCCTTCTCGGATGCGCCGCTCCCAGGCACCATGCGGCGATGGGTCCTCGCTCTGAATCCGCAGCGCCCCGCGTCCGCACGACCTCCTCCCGCCTGCCCCCGCCAGCTGGCGGGGCGCGTCTCGCCTCCCGCTGCCCCAGCTCCTCCTCCTCCTCCTCCTTCTCCTCCTCCTCGTCCTCCTCCTCCTCCTCCTCCTCCTCGTCCTCCTCCTCATCCTCCTCCTCCTCCTCCTCCTCCTCCTCCTCCTCCTCCTCCTCCTCCTCCTCCTCCCTCATCATCCTCGTCCTCACCCTCCTCGTCCTCCTCCTCGTCCTCCTCCTCCTCCTTCTCCTCGTCCTCCTCCTCTTCCTCCTCCTCCTCCTCCTCCTCCTCCTCCTCCTCCTCGCACCTGCCCTCACCAGGCCCATTTCGGAACACCCCTAGCACGTTTCGGGGCCCCACGGGGAGCTCCACCGAAGGCACCGGTGGCAGAGTTCGGAGACGTGCCCGCGGCCATGTCGGCACACCCCTCCCACGATTCGTGGCCCCACGGGGAGCTCCACCGAAAGCCCTGGTGGCAAAGCTCGGATACGTGTCCGCGCCCATGTCGGCAAACCCCTCCTACGAGTCCTGGCCCCATACGGGAGCTCCACCGAAGGCCCCAGTGGCTCCTAGGGGGTCTAGAGTGAGCTAGATTTGAGCTATCATGTCTAACAGGAGGGGACAGGAGGAGGAGAGGGAGCGAGGCGGACGAGGAGGAGGAGGAGGAGGAGGAGGAGGGGACAACGACGAGGAAGAGGCGGAGGCGTTTTTGAACATGACCGTGCTTCACGGTCGTGGCTGCGGTCCTTCGCCTCGAAGGGCTTTGTGTGCGTCAGTCGGGGTGTGACCCTGTGGGCGGACACACACAGTGGCCCTGACACTCCGACCGGACAGGTTCGGCAGAAAGCGTACTCGATAGAAGTATCCCACGGTTGTTCCATCCCGCCCATCCGTCGTCGCCTTGGATGTCGCTGCCGATGTTCTCACCTGCCTTGCGGTACTCACACGCAGTTGCATGTGACTGGGTCCTTCGCCCGAAAAAGTCCCCCGCAGTTGTGGATAAGAGTGAGGGGTCGGCGGGGCCGGCGGCAGTCTGCGAGGCTATGAAGACGCCCGCCGCAGGCGCCGATTTCTAAACACATTGCACACCGAGCCCACCTCAGGCGAAGATATTCGTCAAAGCAGTGTGGGTGGGTCGCGGGGGGTGGGTCGCGAATGGGTTGCGGATAGGTCGCGGGGTTTGTCTCGGGATTGGTTGCGGGGTGGGTCGCGGAGTGGGTCGCGGGCGAGGGCGACAACAACAACAACAACAACAACAACAACAACAACAACAACAGCAACAACAACAAAAACACCAACAACAACAACAATAACAATAACAACAACAACAACAACAACAACAACAGCAGCAGCAGCAGCATCAACAACAGCAACAACAACAACAACAGCAACAACAACAACAACAACAACAACAGCAACAGCAACAGCAACAGCAACAGCAACAGCAACAACAACAACAACAACACACAACAATACTAAGTTCAAGACTGTTCGCTCTTACCTGCTCGCGTGCAATTCAACACGCGTATCCTAAATCCTCGGTGCTCTCCCTCTTCGTCTTCGATCGTCCCCCTTGGGAGTATATCTTTCTTCCCTGCCACGTGGATTTAGTACAGCCCCTAAAGCGGGGGAAGAGACGACGGATGGAAGGGGGAGAGAGAAGAATGCCGGGGGGAACGAAAGGGGGATAGCAAAGGGTAGGATAGAGAATCAACTCACGTAGCTGACTTTCCAAGCGCCTCCCGGCGCCGGGAGGCGCCCGTGTATCGAGGAATGGGCCCGGCGGCGAGGCCGAAACCAGCTGCATGCAGCAGATGTCGTTCCCCCCCCCCCTTTCCCTATCCCCCCCTTTCGTTCGGCCCGAGAATGGAGCACGAGGGAGATCAGCGAGAAAGGGCTCGGAGCAGAAAGAACGTGGCAGAACCAGATGGGCAGATCGGGCGGGTAGACCCTGACGGGCGTGTCGGGAAGGCGGGCCCAGACGGCCGGGACGAGCGGGCTGGTCGCTGAAGCGTAAATCGAACGTGAGTCACGAGGAAGTTTCGAGCAATAGCGCGAATCGAAAGTAAATCGTGCGGAAATGCAACGAGAGAGCGTGACTCCTGAGTCTTGTGGACAAGGCGCCGCAATACATTGTCAGCAGGTACCACGCGAGAACAATTTGAGGACCAAGTCTGTTCCTGATAAAAGAAAGTATGCGGACCCTGGGACGAACGCTGGAATAGAAAATCACTAGGTGTACTGGGCCAGGGAGAATAACAACACCTATTATTCAACAGTGTGAATGAAATAATTTCAAAGCTGTTCGTTTATATATGCTCGTGTGTCACTCAACGTATACCCCGCACCCTAGACACCCGACCTCGTCGTATTAGATCGGGCCCCCCCTGGGCGTATACCTTCCGTACCTGCCACGTATAGTTGGCGCAGCCCTTGACACGGGAGAAGGCAGGAAGAAGGGAAGAGACAACGGGCAGTGAGAAGGCTGGAACACATGTGAGCTCTGCAGACACGGGAGCAGGAATGCAAGCGGCCAAACCAGACGGACGGGCCGGGCGGGCGGATCCAAACGGGCAGGTCGAGCAGGCGGGCCCCGACGGCCGGGTCGAGCAGAGCAGGCGGGCCTCTGAAGCGCCAATCTAACATGAATCGCGAGGCGAGCGATACCGCAAGCGGCAGAACCAGACCGGCGCGTCGGGCGGGCGGACCCCAACCGGCAGGTGTGGTGGGCGGGCCCGGACGGCCGGGTCGAGCAGGCGGGCCTCTGAAGCGTCAATCTACCAGGGATTCGCCAGCCCAACAGGCCAGAGGCGTGCTAAGATCCCTGGTCACAGGTTCATAGTATTTCTAGTGCGCGCGCGCAGAGCGGCCCCTAGGGACACCTGGACGAGAAGTACCCCGGCTGATGCCCGGGCGATGCCCGGCTGACTCCCCCAAGGCGCTCCAGGAGCGCGCCAAGAGGGCGCCGGGACGCCCACTACACGGCCCAGCAGGCCCCGAGTCCCCGAAAGATCGTTCCAAGACGGCCCAGATGGTCTCAGATGGCCCCAGAGGCCGCGAAGAAGCCCCAAGAGAGCCTCAAGAGGCTCCAAGAGGGCCCCAACAACCGAAAATCGCCTCATTGCTTTCGGAAAAAATGCATTTGTTGCATGTACGACGTTTGGGGGTTCACAGCGTCCAGACCTGCCCCAGAGGCTTCAAACATCGTCCCCAGACGGCCCGACACGCCCCCAAGACGGGCCCAAGAGAGCCCAAGGGGGTCCTAAGACGGCCCAAGAAGCGCCCCAAGACGGCCCAAGATAGCAGAAGACAGCCCACCCCAGACGGCCCAAAAGGGCCCCAAAACGACCCCAAGAGGGGCCCACGAAAGGGATCAGGAACCGAAAAGGCCAGCCTTCAGCCCCAAGAGGCCCCCAGGAGGCCCCAAGAGGCCCTCAAGAGGCCCCAAGGGGCCCCCAAGAAGTCCCAAGAGGTCCCCAGCAGGCCCCAACACGGCCCTCAAGTGGCTTCAGAACTGCCTCCCAGAGGCCCCCGAGAGGCCAACCGTAAGAGCCCCGCCAACACCCATGAGGCCTCTGACCCACCACCCAGGCACGGTCAGAGGCGTGCTAAGATCTCCGGTAACTGCTTGACAATGTTTCGACTTCGCGCGCGCGGGGCGGCCCCTGCGGGGTCCCCAGACGCAAAATACCCCGGCCAGGTCCCCGGCAGGGTCGGGCCAGGGATGGTGTTCCTCCCGGGCGCGGCTTTCGGGCGCCCCAGAGCGATCCAAGAGGGCCCCGAGAGGCGCCCAAGAAGGTCCAAGAGGGCTCCGAATCGCCGAACGATTTGCACCGCATTGACAACAACACCCCAACAAAGGACAGCGGCGATGCAATATGGACCGGCGGAGTGAGCGAAGCAATTCAATAACCAGGCGAGCGACAGCGCGAATCAAAAGTAAGAAGCGTGTGGAGATCCAGAGTGAAAACGTATTTCCTGAGTGCTGACGGTGCGGTACCGCAAGAAATTACGACAAGGTACCACGCAAGTGGGATTCCTGGATATCAATGTGGGGGGGTCCCGAGCGAGAGCGCGATTTCAAACGGGGCGCGATGAAGTCTCAGGCGGGAGCCAGTGTTGTGGCAAGCCATAGGCCACGGACACAATCTGAGGCGCAGGACTCCCCCTAGTGAAAGAACAGCAAGGCTCGAGCCCTAGGAGGCGAACTTGAGTTGAAAAAACACATTGGGCACCGGGGACGAACTCAACAACGAAACAGCGCAAAAACGAAACAG